TATTGATACTTTAAATGCTCCCCATGGAAGAACGTTAGATGTTGATCTGAAATCGAAACTAAATCGAGGTCGCCGGATCATAGGTAAATACATTGATGACTCGCTGTTTACTTCTCCAATCTGATGACACTGTCACCACATGCAGGCAATTTTATTCCGGGTTTGAATCTCTCTCAACAAGTGGACGACGATAGGAAATGTGTGCTCCTAGAAGCGGGAAGAACTCTCTCTCATTTTGATTTTTCGTTGTTACTAGATATTATTAAAGAATGAAAAAATTTTTCCACCCTCACCTCGTGTTTCTCAGAGTGGAAAAAACATGTACGCTATGATCTGTCGTCGCTCTGTTCTTCTCTCCTCTGCCTCTCGTTCAACGTGCGTGGCCTGAGTAGTAGTTGGCAAGAGGTTCTTCTACTCTCTTCTTCCTTCAATTTCGACCCTATAGTTCTGGTCGAGGTGGGAACAATTGATGTGACATGGATATCACAAAGGTTTCTACCGAAAAGGTGAAAACGGCTTTGGTGGTGTTATAGTCTTAGTTAGAAATGATATAAAAACGGAAAAAGTCGATTATAATATCCCAAACGTCTGTGCGGTAGATCTCCTATTCGAAAAAAATTTGAGAATAATTTGAATCTATGGTCCTGAGAGTAAGGAATGGAATTGGACAGATCTATTGATTGTTACCACTTTGTTTTGTGTTTTTTGTGGAGATTTCAATGTTGATCTAGAAAAGGACACTTTTAAATCTATCTCTCTAATTGATTGGGCTGATTCAGGTTCACTTGCTCCTTTCTGCCTGATCTTCCCACCTCTGTACGCTCAGACAGAATAATCGACTATGTGTTAAGTGTAGGTGATGAGGGATCAACAACTAGTGACCATAAACCAATCTTATGTGTAATTTCTTGTGAAAATAAAACTGTAAACATAGGAAAAAGAGTACATTGGAATGTGTTTTATTTTTTCTTGTCTTTTGTTTTTAAATATTGGGAAGCACAATGGAATCTTGTGTACTATAATGATGTTTACTCAAACTATGTCAGTTTTCTGTCTCTATTGTTGGCCCGATGTACCACTGTATTTCCTATTAATAAGTACCGTGTATCACTTCCATCTGAGTTGAGATGTAAAATGTCATATTGTCGTGCTCTCTCTTTTCGTGCTAAACGTTCTGAGGGTGTCGAGCTTCTCGATTTAGTACGATTGCTAAGAAATTGTATCAAACGAGAACTAAAGGTGTACCTTTCCAACCAGTTATTAAAATGTTTGTCAATGAGAAATCTATCATCATACTGTCCAGCTCAGTTTTGGTCGAAAACCAAGCGCCATTTTAAACCGTCCTCATCTTCTCTGCAGACTTCCATTTCTAGTACAAGTGTGATAGTCCGTGAGCCGTCTGAAATGCTGGAAATTGCAGCGTACCACTATGCAAATTTATTTTCTGAGCCTGAAGTCATTCGTCCTCATCCGTATGTGGACTCGCCTTTCATTCCTTACGATAATGAGAATCAAAAAATCCCTGAAGTTTCTTTTGAAGAAGCCCTAGATGCTATATCAGCAGGGAAAAGTAAACATTCGGTAGATGCCACGGACATTTATGCTTAAATTTATCCCAACACCCTATTGTCTTTTATTTGTTCAACTGTTCAATCTGTCTTTTTCATCGTGTGTGTCTCTAACTTCTCTATTTGTCATCGATATAAAATCGGTCTCTGGAAGCACGTGGCATTTAAACTCCGTGTAAATTACACGGATTGACCATAATTACCCCATGAAAAATAGCTGGGTGACCATAATTACCTCAAGTGACTTTTTCTCGAAAAACACAGATTCTCGTAGTTTCTTATTAATTAATTAACGGCAAGCCTGCATGGCATGCAATTCATACAGATGATAGAGCTTGAAATTCTCTACAAGATGATATCATTTTTAATTATTTTCCTTGAAATCTGTGATATTGACAATTCTATATCTTTAAAACTGAAGGGGACCTTTTTCTAAAAATCAGACCAATATATAGTACAACTTGTGTGCTTCACATTAGTATAAAAAGTGGAAAACGGTCCTCTCCACTTATTTTAGTTTCAATTCGCGAAGTGAGCAGAATATAGAATAAAGTCATAGCTAGCACTACATTTTTCGAACAGAGAATAAACGAACATACCAATAAAAATATAAAATCTACCTTTTCTTATTTTGTTCTTTAAAGAGAAATAACGTTCTATGTACATATAAACAAGTCATGCTGTACCACGCAATCAATTATACTATTCTGAATATACAAAAATCTCAAGATACGCTTTTCTGAAAAATAAGCCAAATTTTCATTTAATCTTATTCTCATGTTTCATTTCCACTTTATTTCATTTTCTACATAAAATTAATGTAAATATTCACTGAATAACCAAACTGGGATTTATTAGCACAGTTAATCTGCTCTTTGATATGTTATATATAAGAGTTAATAAAAACTAATCTATTGGAAAAAAATGAATAAAATGGAGAAGAAAAGATAGATTTTATATATTTTTTCTCTTATACAAACATCACAGAGGAGTGCTTTACATTATTCTACGAATGATCCGAATGATTCGTTTGATCCGATTGATTCGTTCATAGTTTTGACGGCTTCCCTAATATAGGTTCTCACTAGGTTTTAGAATTCTTTTCGAAAAACACACGTTAGGGCGAGGCTGAGTGTAGCCTATAACCTATATTTCAATTCTTTTTCGGGGTAGCCTGGTTTATCTTCATATAAAAAATGAGATCTTTTTTGTGAACTTATATTTTAAACGAGATTTTTTTTAAAGGGCATATTGTTTGTTATTAAAGACACTTATTTGGCCTTTGAAGAAGAAAAAAAATCCTATATCATAAAAATCATCAGTGCACAGATATACATGTATATAAATAAGTAACATTACCTCACTTCACATATTATTTTTTCTACTACGTAACATCAAAAAAGAGATAAAAAATGGTACTTCTTCTAATCTTGTTAAACCTGATTGTCATCGGCTACTCATACCCAATTAACAGAGGTGAGGTTAAATTAGCGGCGGAACCAGGATTTTGTGCTAGGAAGGGCTCAGCCCATCACTTTTCTGGCGTTCGGTCTGAAGTAGTACTAATAAATTTAAGCTGAATTTCAGGCAAAATTTTAAACACTGTCTAGGCGGGACTCAGTGCTTTCTAGGCAGGGCTCAGCCTAGTCTAGTCCTGTTAGTGGCTCCGCCACTAGGTTAAATGTCTTTTCATTCAACGATCATTGTCTTTTATGTCATAATAGTTCTTTTAATTTATATAAATTTATTTATAGTTAATGGAATGACCAATAACAAGAAACCAGCATTTAGTTGGGTTAAAAATGGTGAAGGTAAAGATTACGACTACTCTCAAGATCATTTATATGTCAAAGTTCCATCATCGGCTACCAATGGTGAATTAGCAATAGTTGAAGATACATTGAAACCAGGATTCTTTTTAGCTCGGCATCATCATAAAAAGATGACAGAAATATTTTTTGTTGTTGAAGGTCAAGTACAATTTATATTTGATGGTAAGACAATAACAACAGATAAAGGTGATACAATTTCAGTGCCACCAAATACATGGCATGCAGCTAAATCAACTAATGGTGGTAAAATGTTAACAATATTTAAAAATGGACGATTTGATGTTTATTTAGAAAGATTATCAAAAATGACTAAAGCTGACTTTAAAAATAAGAAATTAATGAAACGTGTGTCACATGAGTTTGATATTTACAACGAATAGAAATAATAACTGTTCGGATTTGACATTAATATTTTTTAATATACTTTGAATTTCTGCTAATTAAATTTTTTCTGCATGTTTCAAATAGTGTATTATCCGGATAATGAGAGCGTATCCTGCCAAATAATAAATATAAGTCCAATGCTTAACATCATTAGCTCTGTTAATAGAATTTTATTTCAAAATAAATGTGAGAATGTATGGTGTCTCTTGGTTCACCTGTCAGTATTATCATTATGGCCATATCGGTTCGTTGCTATGTTGGCCCATTCTATTGAATGCAAGCTTCTATCATGGTTCCCCGTACTGTTACTAATCATTGACATATTGCATTTGTTAGGGATCTGGCATGACTCAGAGTTCTTTCTCTTAACTGCTTGAACTTTCCGTAGACACTCACTAATCAAATAGACATGTATGACAACTGTCATTTTAGTTAGAGAAGCCCAGGTCTTGGAAAATTCAATAGAAAAGCCGTCTCAAGTACAGTGCGCTTAGGAAGGACGATTTCAAGTTCAAAGTGTTGGACTTTTCTGCAACAAAATAAGTAGTTCATGATCAGCTATTCTTAATACGGAAATACGAAAAACTAATTAAACCTTCAATATGTCTTTCTTCTCTATAAAACGTTTCGTTAAGAAAAAATAAAATTAGACATTTCGGCTGGTTAAACAGTCTCCATCAATACACGAAAAAATTTAAAACTAGATTGCAATTATGCTACTTGCGATGTAAACAAAAACTCTCAGAACCTTCATATGCGCAGGCTCTCACCGATTTAAAAAGGTTTCACAAGGCCGGTTTAAGGGTGGGTGATCGAACCTCTCCTGGTTTTGTTGACCACTTTGTTGGCCATGTTCTAACGCATAATGATTTTGACTTTAGATTTTTATGGTTGACTGTTGTTGGTCTATCTCAACATACTGCATCAAACTTAGAGTTTTTTTAAAATAAACTTGTTTTAATCGTATTAACAACTAAAATTAAATGATATTCGTCAGATATGTATTCCATATGTACTTCGGAAAAGATATGTACTCCTTCATGCAAATAAGACGTATATTCACGTTGTTTTCTGTATCTGTATACAGAGTGATATCAAATAACATATATCAAAATTTGTTTTCCGTATTGTACAATATATACAAGTATTTTCTGTTTTTGATCACTATGACAAACACTGATGCAAAAGGATAGGAAAACAGGAAATGCTCATACAGAAAACAAAGTCTGATATTTGTTATTTGATACGATTCTTGTATATCTGTATCCTTCATATCAGATGGATTTAGGTGTTACAGCATACATATATATATATTTTATAAAAATCGAATGAAATAACTTCAGTGTCAGAAAAACCAAGTGACTGCCCATGTGGAAATTTTGATACCCTCCACGATGTGAACACGCGTGAAAACGTTTTGCAATATTTCGTGAAACAGTGGTTTGCACGAGTGAGCGCTAGTGCACAGGCAGAAGATACATAGCAACAAAACGTGAACACTAGTTAATTTGTCGCTTTTTTCGTGAATGTGACCGCGAACACGCGTTAACAACTATTCCACGGCAGTATTACGTGTGAACACGCGGGAATATTCCACTCGAGAACTC